GTCTGTGCCACCGCCGACGATGCCATCGGACCACGCGGAACGGGCTCTGGAAGGCAGAGACTGCTCACTGACACGCCAGGCACTTTCGAAGGATGATGTGGATGATGCCGCAGACTTTGGCCGCACTCACCTGCCTCCCTCTAAATGCCACTTCTCGACAACTTTGCACTGCCAGGTGTGTCTCTGACTCTCTCTCGCTAACAGGCGGACATGTCTGCTAATTAATCAACTGAGCATGTATTACTTTCTTTGCACTGCATCCTAGTGCAGTTAAAGTGTGTATCTAAAAAATGAATTGCTTAAATAGCTCAAACAGTATTGCTTAAAAGTACTACTTGGACTAGGGTCGATGTGGAATGGTCACTGAGTGTAGTAGTTGGGTGAAAAGCAGTGGTGAGTCAGTGAGCACACTGCCAGGAAATTGCACCTGAAGCAGTGCACTGTACTGACATTTGGTGAAGAGACAGGCGTCATTGAAGCGGCGGCTGAAGCAATGTCGTTGATAGTGTGTCGTTGCACACTGCTGACGATAAAGTCCACCGAGATCACCACATCTTGTTCACTATCCCGGTGGTGAGCTGTCGGTCATTAGTTGCTGTCCCTTTGCCATTTATTAAATTCGATGCTAATTACAAGTGATCAAGAGAATTCTCTCAGCTGCGACCTCACTTGGCGCAATACCTCTGTCTGTGTGTGTGTGTGTGTAGCATATGGGCAAAAGGTGGCCAATCACTGGTTAGGCTGCTGGTGCTGATGCTGCTGATGCTGGTGGTGATGGTGATGGTGGTGGTGGTGGTGGTGGTGGTGGTAGTGCTGCAGCTCCCCACCAAGTCTCCCCTGGCAGCACAATGAACGGAATCGATTCGCCAGCAGACTCGATGCGGGCCATTTGTCAGATTGAAAGCTGCTGCTGCTCTATCTAGTTCGGTACTGCCTCGCATCGAGTAGAAACTCTGGCACTGACTGGCTGCTGGCTGTTGCGGCTGATGCATTATAACCAGCAGACACCACTGCTGAAGGCTGCAGTCGAAAGTATATTGCCGAGGTATTCGGTGCAAACCAACTATTGCCTTTTTGGCTCTTCATTCACCTGGTCACTCAGCTCACAGTGTGTTCTCTGCTCTTTGACTTATTCTTCTTCATTTGCTCAAAACTAGTCTTTGAGTACTGACAGTCATGACCAGTGTGTTCCAGACACAGTGGTCCTGGTCATCAGTGGACAACACCTTCTCCTCTCGAGATCATGGGTAAGTACGCCTCTCTCCCTCTCTATTTTTTTCAAACTGCCATTTGTATCACCTTGTGGCAGTTAAACCTTGCTGTTATTTATAGTCGTTAATATATTGCTCAGCTCAGATCAGTCTGCGATAGACAGTGTAGGAGCAACAACAAAACTGTGCTTCACTAATAAATTTAATTTTTCAAGACGATATATATCGTAATCTAAATTAAGCAATAGCAAAAATGACTTCGTTAAGGTCACTAGTCAGCATCTTGGCGTCAATGTGGGCTAATATGTTGGCCAGCAAGCAGGCAGTCACTAGTCTATCGGCAACAGGTCTCTCAGTAATGCCGCACTGCACAGAGATAAAATAGCGCTGAATTGCAAGAGCCGATTGGTTGATGCAACACACCACAGTGTGTCACTTGCTGCTGCTGAGAAGACCAGGCAAAGGGCCACTGGTGATGGGGTTGCTCCTCATGAGGCCTTATGCCTTCCAATCACTCGGTCGTCTGTCGCACTTTGAAGATAATCTTGGGCAATTAAGGCTAAAACCTGTTCACCCTAATGACACCGACAGCGCAATCAAGCAAGCTATCGACTAATTAATTATTTATTTATTTTCAAAAGTAGATTGCCAAATGTGCCACTAGCGTTTATTTGAAACTAATAATAAAAGTGCCAGGTTTTATATGCCTACTGTCAGTTCTCGCCGTTGTTTAGACAATAGTTCGACGCTGCAGTCAAACCAGAGAACACGGCAAAGTGTGTCTAATTGACGTGACACAGGCACTGCAATGCAAAAAAGTCAGAGTTTTGTTGCTCCGAAACAGCACCACTAATTGCGCCTGTTTGGAGGGAAGGTGTATTCAGAGGAAACACTGGCAGAACACACAGTCAAACTGTCAGTTCTAAGCAAAAGGCGCACTACCGAGTATTTACAAGAACAGGTCATCGAATTTTTGCAGGTAAAAATAGATCGTTTCTGGTTCCTGCCACGCACACTCAAATGGTGGAAGACAGTCTCGAAGGCAACCAGAACTGGCAGTATAAAGTCGTCTGCAAAGCACTTTTAGCTCATTCGGTTTTAAATAATTTGAATTGTTTTTTCAGTCAGTCAACAGGTGTTTCAGAGAAAAACTGTACTTATTCATTTGGTATTTGCTCTTGTGACCGTATTAATGGGCGTTTGATTTAAAATTAACGCCGTTATTTCGATCACAAAGAGGAGGTACACAAATCCAAACAGCGACATCAACACCGACGGATTAAAAGAAGACAGATCATTAATAATGACAACGCCGGCTTCGATGGCAACCTCTAAAACAACTCAAAAACTAATCACCCTGACTCTTTTCTTTTTCAAAGGTTTACTTTATTCTACTGGCAGAAATTTACCTAAATCGTGTCACATCAGTTGACACTTTTCAAAACATGATGAACTCCAGAAGAGTGCACTGGGGCTTTTGTGATTGCAGCAAACTTCGCCAGTTACTGGTTACACTGCCAATTGACTAGAGACAAAGTGAGGAGCATGCCTGCAGTCAATCGGTGGGTCGAGTGGATGCTTCAGCGAAATCATCACTGGCAGCGATAAGGGATCGAGTCTTATGTCTAAAGGAAATAGTCTCACTGCACATGCCACATCTCCAGTCGGGACATCGGCGGCAGTAGTTGGCTAGCCAGCTGCTGCTAGAGGCAAGTTGAGTTGAGTCGATCGTGTTCCGCAAGAGGCAGTGTGAGTGAGAGAGGGAGAGAGAGCGAGTACAGGAGAAGAGCAGATGTGACACAGACGCCGCGCCGTTGATGATAAGGCACACAATTTGTTTATAGCAATATCGATGATACTACCTTTATCTTGGTCACAGTGATGTTGCTGCCTCTGCTGCCGGTGATGCTGATGATGATGCCGGCGGTGTCGGTGCTGCTGGTGCCTGGCTGCCGTCCTCCCCTAGATCAACTGGTGGTGATGAGAGTTGCCCTAAGAGCACTTGGCCACATCATCCACCGAGACGATTGTCAGTCTGTACGGTGCCAGGCAACAGCAGTTTGCCCATTTCGCACTCTCTCTCTCTCTCTCTCCATTCATCCTTGTCTCTTTCTCTCTCTTTTCCACTCTTTTCCTCGACCACTAGTCCGCATCCAATGGACCAGCTCAACCTAGAAAGCGTTCCCCTGTTGCTGCTGCCTCTGTGCTTCATCACCAGCACTTTGGATGTGACCAACTGGCGCGTCTAATCACGGGCGCACCACCAGTGTCGCTTCTACAGGGAAAACGGCACGCAAAATGGCGAAAGGACTAAAAGACAGGCGAAATCTTTCGTCGTCGATGTCCGATGTCTCTCTCTCTCTCTCTCTCTCTCTCTCTCTCTCTCTCTCTCTCTCTCTCTCTCAGTGTGTATTTGCACTAATCAACAGATTGACGACAGCAGGAGAGAGCGACTGGCACTGGAGAGCGAGAGGAGAGTGCTATTTAAGTAGTATTGAGTATAGAAATTTATTTTTTATCTCCAGTAGCCTAAGTGTGCGGTGTGGCGCGAGAGTGTCTCTTTCTGTGTCTGCCTATGTGTCTATGTGTATGTGTGCTTGGCCTGTGTGTCTGTCTCTGTCTGCCTGGCTGTGTGTGTGTTTGGTGAAACTGCTTAATGGTTAATGGCTAATAGTAGCCGCCGATTAGTGATGATGATCAGGATGGAGACGGTGCTGATGCGAATGCTCTTCGGCAGCGGCAGCCACTTATTCGACGCCGAGCGGCACCGCTAAACTTGATCTCAACCGATCTCAGTGGCTGCAGTTGGCTGCCCCTTCGCACTGTCCTCCACTACCTCACTGCGCCAGTCTCCTCATCCTGTGCCCACTTTATTCCTTCCTCAAAGCATGGCCCCTCTTCCTCCTCCTCGCCTTTCCACCACCACCAGCAGAGTCTTCGATCCAGAGAAGCCAAGAGAACCCAGTCACAATCGGTAATGTACCTTCGCTTGCTGCACCACCACCGAGGGCAATGGCCACATCCATAATAAGACTACTTCCCCCTTTGCCTGCTTCGGTTTCCATCGAAAGAAGATCACTATATGGAGAGGATACCATGACCCGAGGTAAATGTGCTCCCGCGAACCATGACCACTCTCAACTGTGCGTGTCAGCCATGCTGATGATGTAAAGTTTACTAATGTATAAAGTCTTCATTTTTAGAAATGCGTCAATGCTTCTCCTCATTCCTTCGCTCCACCGCTGCTGTACGACTGCAGTCTCTGTCGTCGCTGCTGCACTTTGTCCCCGCCATGTCTTCTCTAAAGTGAACTTAGATAGACACCAGTCACCAAAAAGACCAAATGGTGCACAGCCCCTTTGACGCCACTGGAAGAGCGAGCAGAGAAGCAGGTAAGCAGAGGAAGACGCTAAATGACCTTTTCTCTACTTTCACCAGATCAAACCATGACGAGACACATCACCGACTGTTAAATAATGCGCACTGCAATGCCCAATTTGTCCTTTCACTTATAGATCTTCGCAAATGCTTTCACAATAAGCTTTGGTCTGCTAAGTAGTAGTGCCGCAGGTGATAAGGTACTTTAATTTACCTGCACACCACTGCTTCCTAGACCGACTTACTCATTCTACTACTTCCGCTAACTGCTGGCTACCAAATTATTCTCTCATGACTACCTGTTTATTATATGAACATAAATATTACAATCCGTTACTTCTATCTCTACATCTTGTACATTTTGTATAAAACACAAATAAACATACAAATGTGTTTGTCTATATCACAAACTTATTTGTTCTTTTTGCTGACAGCTTTTCCCTTAGCAGGAGGGGCCTTGCCAGTTCCCAGCCAATTGGTCATCATTTCACTCAACTCCGGCAACTCTGACATGTCATTCAGCTTGGGCAAATTTTGCAGTTCCTAAAAGAAGGTGTTAGTATTTCCTATTTTGAAAAAATGACTGTACCTTTTTCTGAGCTTCCAAATCGTTGGGATTGATCATTCTCGGAAGGACCATGATGAAGAACAGAGGCAGAACCATCATGAGTACCATTGGGTTGAACAGGAAATCAGTCGCCTTCCAGCTCTCACGAACTTGGAAGTACTTGAAGGGCGTCTTGGCTTTGAACTTCAATGGATAGTTCATCTGCTTCACTTCAGTCAACTGAATGTAGTTAACTTTTCGAGCTCGAATTTTTCCCTTTGCATTGATGTCCACTCGAATTGGGTCGTAGAAGAAGTTGTCGTTTGAAACTTCAACGACATAAGTTCCGGCTGGTAGATTAGAAACTTCAAAACTACCATCAGCGCTATAAATCACAACAAAAAGTTAGAAAGTTGAAAAGCAAAATTAGCAAAGTTGTCGTACCGAAGAAACCCAAAGTATTGGCCGTAGTTGACGATAATTTTAGTGCCGACTAGAAATTGACTTGATAAGGGGTAAGCATCGTGAGTGTAAATTTTGCCTTCAATGCGAAACAGCTCATTAGAGTTGGGTGGTGAGCTGAAATCCGACATCTGAACATCATTTGACTGGCCTGAGCAGGTACAAAGCAGAGCGGACCAGATGAGGAAGGAGGCGATCTGGATAGATTTGTTAGTGGCCATTCTTGATGCACTGAGTATCACCAAGTTGAGTGCCTGTTTAAGCGATTACAGTCTTAGAGATTTGGTAGGTCTTGAGTTTTGGCTAACAGCAGAACTTTATCTTGAAAACTGAGGTAGAATTCGCTAATCAAAAGATCCAAGTAACATGACGACTAAAAAAGTCTCGCCAAAATGAAAAACAATCATTGATTTCCCATGTACACACAGTCACCATACGATTGTCAAAATAGCTGCTTCAACTTGCTTGTTGTCATTTTTTTTGGGTGCCAGATGACTAATCATGGATCGAAGCGATTCCATCATCACGTTGACTTCCGAAAGCGAATCACCGAAATATAGTAAGGTGAACTACTCAACAAAGAGTCGTTTGAACACAAGCAAAGATGCTTTCAAAAAGTGCAGCCGTTACTTGACCCGACTGTTTCGGGTAAACCAAATGGACTTTGAATTTGCTTTCTGGCAAATGGTCTACCTCTTTTTGAACCCCAAAAAAGTGTACGTGCTCTTTCAGTTTATCTGTTGACTTGAAAGGCTTAACAAACGTATTTGTCTTATTGCAGATATCGCAACTTTCAGTATAGAAAACAAACCAAGAATCAATTTGCTCGAGATGACCCGGCCTTTTTGGTGCTTCTCTCAGTGTGGCTTCTCGTCTCTGCAACTGGATTGTCACTTGTGTTGCACCTCCATTTGCTTGGATTTTTCAAGTTCCTCCTGTGGATCGTCTTTATAGACTGCATATTTGTGGGCATCATTGTCGCCAGTTTATTTTGGCTCATCACCAATCACTACATGAAGAGGTCCGCCTCAGTCAATGAAGATGTCGAGTGGGGCTTTGCTTTCGACATTCATTTGAACGCCTTCTTCCCACCTCTTTTGATCTTGCACGTGTTTCAGTTATTCTTCTACAACGGTATGTGCTTTCTTGAGTTTTGCTTGATTGTAATACTTTTTTTGTTTTTAGTATTCATTAGTCACGACATGTTTCTTGCTCGATTCTTCGGCAATACACTGTGGCTGATTGCCGTTGGCTACTACTGCTACATCACCTTTTTGGGCTACAGTACACTGGCCATGCTAAGGCACACCCAAGTGATTCTCTACCCTATGGTGCCTTTGTTCCTCTTTTACTTTATTTCTACTTTGTCTGGCCACAATATTTGCAGAGCAATAATGGAGTTTTATCATTATCGAGTTTATTAAAAAGAGCACTTTAACTTTGTTACGTTTACAAAACTATTGTAAATATTACCGCTGTATTATCTTTTACAAATAAAAAACTATGCAACACTAGTGCTGCAAGGCGATCTCCGAGAAGACATTGAGCACATCTTCGATGGTGAAGGCCAGTGTAATGTTGGCCTGTGGGTAGCAGCGTTCAATCATTCCGGTGATGCCTTTGTACTGGGCTATAAACTCCTCCTGCATCGAATGCCAGATAACCTACAAGGGGGGAAAGTAAAGATTACCGTTAGAAAGTGCTGTCCTGCACATCGTCCACTCTGCAAGAGGACTCACCTGTATGAGGTTGTTTTGAGGGTCGGAAATATGCTTCTCCACTTTTTTGTACATATCTTCAAGGCCTCTCTTGATGTCTTTCAGATTGCAGTCCTTGATGACTTTGCGCAGTTCCTGTTTACTGAACGCCAGCTGGTAGCTGATTTCTTCCTCCCGCACGCCCTGCTGAACTTTGCTTTGCACTCCCTCGAAAAAACAATTCAGCTTGTCCAGTGGCCGTCTGAAGTACAGATTGACGTACTCCTTGAGGGCATTATTGTAGCGCACTTTCGCCTCCTTCCGTTCATTCTCCAGACAGGGAATCTTTAGCGAAGGCAGCATCAGCTGAATGTAGTGGTAGTTCTCCAGTTCAATCATCTGCGAGGGCGTCTTGTACGCTCTTTGGTGCTCCTTGGCAATGCGTTCAATCGACTGGAAGATCTTCTCCATCAGAATGACGTACCACCGGTCAATGTCAGCTCGACGCTGAGGGCCATACTTGACCACATTTTCAGTTTGTTTGGCAAACGCTTCAAAGCGCTTTATAAAGTCGAGAATGCCCACTTTGGTTCTTTTAGACTCTTTAGCATTTTCAATCTTTGTGAGCTGATTTTGCATGTACCTATCAAAGCATCGCTTGATGTGAATCAAAATGTTGCCATATGCTTTGGAGAGAAAAGACCCGGTGTCGGAGACGGCCATGACGTGTCGGTTCAGACGGACCAAAAAGTACAGCGAATAGATGCCGTCCCTATTGTCGTGGTCATCGACAAAATTTTTAAAATCCTGTTCAAAATTACCAAACAGCTCTGAAAGCATATTTCGCAGTTGGTCATTTCGCTTTGCCTGGGCAGTGGACTGCTCGGAGCTGTAGTTGGAGCTGTGATTAGACAGAGAAGTGTCGGTTTCGCTGTTGGAGCTGTGCTTGCCACCCATAACCGGCGTCGATGGAATGGACAGATTAGATGTCGCCTCCAGATCGAAAAACTGATTGCAAAACTGTTGCTCAGCATGGCACACCGGGTCAATGGTTTTAAGAATATTCTCAATAAACGAGTCGAATTCCTCCCATTCAGTGAGACTTATGTCAGAGCTTCGTGTGGAGGCAGTTTCCACCGTGTCAGATTGTGATTGCGAAGAGTTGGCATATGAGTTGCGTCGGTAATCGCCTCTAAAGTCAGACACCGCCAGGCTCTTTCGCTTGCTATCCGTCGGACTAGGGGAAATGAGGGTGTTGTTTCCCTTCCCTGTGCTGAAGAAAAACTTGCCCTGAAGGTACTCGAAAAAGTATCCAAACTCTTTTTCGTAGATAACTTGAAAGTGCTTCACGTATAGTTCCATTAGGTGAGAATATAAATGGCTGTCCACTTCCCGACACCATTTAACAAATGGCGCATATGGTATCAGACTTCGATGTGCCTTGATATGCTCGGCCAGCACTGATTCGTGAGCTTTCATTGTCAACTTTTCCTGGTAGCTGTTTACCAGACTCATTATTAACTTGCTGATATGCTCCGTTATTCTTTTTCCAAATTCAGTTGAGACATTACGCAAATATTCCTGCTGCTCCTTGACAGCAAACAGTGACTGAAGAGCCAGCGGGACATCGTGCTGGAGTGCTTCCTGGAGCTTCAACGCCGCTTCTAAGCACTTTGCTAAATCATCAGCAGAGTTCAGGTCACACTTGGTGAGAACATTTTCGTACTTTGGCAGAAAATCCAGGTTTGAAATCAGCTGTTCAATTTCATTCAACAAGCGGTTATTGTTGTCGTTGTATATCTGAATGATGGCCTCCTTTTTTTCCACTTTTTGCACAATATCACGTACATTTTTAAGCTGACTTTCATAGTAGATGATCCGATTTTCTAATAGAAAAGTCTCTTTGAGAGCAACATCGAGAACAGCCATCAAGTCAATCACTCGCTGTTCGGAAGACATTATATCCTGTATATTGTTGACGTCCAACGAAGCAAGATCACGGGAAAGTTTATCCGTCAAAGCAGAGGCATTATGAATGTTGTAATTTAAGGTTGAGTCCACCTCTAGCTCGAGAAGACGCTCCAAGTCAGCCTCTTCTCTGCTGGTTAGCGCTTGGTAAGAATCGTCGACTTCGGGATCTTCCATTTTTCGAGATAGTGGGAATATCAGGGCAGTAACTGAAGAAAAAGGAAACCGGCAATAAATTAGTCACTTGGTAAACAAGCAGTGATGTTTCAAAACATTGGGTGGAGAAAAATATCTCCACCTTTTCCAAGTGACCAGATCCATCTGTTGGCTAAAATATAAACAGAAATAAAACATTTTTTAAACCCGAGTCAACAGAATTTAGAAAAATAAGATATGATTTGTAAAAGCTTGTAAGAACTGCAAAAGTATACAAATTATTGTCCAATTTATGTTTTACAAGCTGTAAATATTGGCTGAATGTTAGTGGTATAAAAAATTAGCAAAAAATAGTTTGGCAAGCCAAAGTAGTGGCGGGCGGCTGTGTATCTGTAGTCTGTTTGTTAATTTAAACTGATTTTACTGATTATATTTTACCGTNCCCTAATTTTTAATACTAAGTTATTCCTTTTATCCAAATAAGTAATCTGCCCCTTTCCAATCCAAACTTTTTACCAAAACGTTTTGCATTTGATTTTCTAAAAATGTATAACATAACACACCGGAAACAGTTTAGTGTTGTTATCATTTAACGATATTTTGTGTTTTAAAAAACTTTTAATTTGTCTATTGCTACCTCATCTCACCCGGGGAGCTCGAAATAGTGCCTCTGTCTGTAAAGCAGCGGCAATGGATGCAGCCAATCAGCGGGCTGCATTTGAAATTGACAGTTGCATCTCTGCGTTCAACGGTCAGCAAGCCGTTTGTTTTTGTGCTGTTGCCGCATTTAGCAGCAAATGTTCTCAAATTGTGGTCACTATCGTTCACTTTCGGGTTAAGCATCATCTAATTTTCATCTAATACTGACTTTCAGAAAATGGAAAACGAAGATTGGGAGAACTATAACGAGGAGGATGCAATGTTGGAGAGATCTTTTCCCGACACGTATGTTTCATTTGTGTTTCCCATTTGAAGAAGTATACTTAATTTGGTGCACTTTATTGCAGATTCTCCGAGATTTTCTCAAAACAATTGAGCCAAGCTATGGTCAGTCAGTTTCGTGAAATCGGCAACCAATGGCTTTTGATGGGCACTCCTGTCGTTAAGCGCGACAAGAAGATAGAAGAGTTGCGCTTCTCTGTTCTGGATAAAGTTTCTCAGTTCTTGGAAAATGAAAAACAGAATCTGACACAGCTGAAAAACTATCGCGACTATCAGCTCAACGAAATCAACAACATCTTGACTGCTTTATCGCTGAAAGCCTACGAGCTTGACTCCAACAAAACACTTTTGGGTCAGAACAAAGCGCTCCACTTTAAGCTAAAAGAACTGCAAACCATCAAAACAGAGCGACTTGAAAATTTGGAAAGAATCGAGACTAAACTTAAGAAAGTTTACCATTCTCTTGGATTGGACTATGTTCCCACTTCCTTTAATACACCGATTCCCAGCGAAAGTGAATTGAGTACGATGCGTTATCATTTGATCGATCAGGAACGAGTGCTTGAAACACGGAAGAAACGCTATGATTCGACTAAATCCATGTGGAGCCAGTATCTACGAGAGTTGGACTACGTTCCTGAGGATGAAAATGAGAAAATGTTTCTTAACTTGCCTCCAAATGAAGTTATCTACTCACAAAGTAACTTGAATTCAATTACTAACTTCTACGCCAAAATCACAGAGAAGTATAATGAAACAAAAAATGAAATTGAAAGCTTAAAAGCTCAGCTTTTAAAGCTGTTTGAAAGGCTGGATATTGAGATTGTGGATCGAAACAAATATATGAGTTCTCTTCAATTTTTGAATTTGCCTGCCAAACGTGAAAGCCTTTTGGCGGAGATTAAGCATTACGAGTTGCAAAAGAAGAGCTGTCTGGAGAAAATCATCAAAAAAATTCGCGATGAAATAGATGAAAAATTGAGTATCTGCATGGTCCAGAAATTTGATGATTCGTTTATCGTATCTAATGAGTTTACTGAAGAGTTGCTCGTAGAACATGAAACCCAATTTGCGAACCTCAATAAATTTCAGGAAGTATACCAGGAAGTGTTCAACAAAATTCGAGAATGGGAAAAGGGACTCGAAGAATTGGTTGAACTTGAGAAAAAACTGCAGGATCCTAATCGCTTCAACAACCGCGGTGGCGTTCTCCTTCAAAATGAACGAGATCGAAAGGCGTTGGGACGAAAGCTGCCCAAACTGGAAAAAGATATCAGGCACCTGATTACTTTGAAAGAAGCAAAGGAACATCTTCCATTCGACACTTATGGACTGAACATCGACGAGTTCATTAAAACTAACTGGGATCACGTCAACAACTCCAAAAACAAAAAATCTGCTCTTGTGACCGGAGGAGGAAACAGCTCAAAGAAATCGGCTTATACTTTGTCAAGTCAAAAGAAAACTCGCGTTGCTCTGTCCCCTCGGCATAATCTATTCAACAAGAAAGCTGGCATTCAATTTCCTACCTCACGGCGTCTGTTTAACGATATGATTCCCCGAAGCACCTCCGTTGTTCCTCCGGAAGAGGAGTTTGGGGTAAGTCTTTCTTTCATTTTATTAGTCGGTTTAAACATTTTGATTTATTTACCAGAAACATCTTAGCGGCGATAAGGAAATCCTTCACTCAACACTTATGATGAATCCAGGCGCAAAGCATCCGATGCTCAACCGTCGCCTTTCAAAATCGATGAATAGTCTTATTCAAATTGCAGAAATTGACCGAGTAGTGACTAAGCGAAACAAACGGCCCCTCGATTTGTAAACCCCCCACCATGTCACGTCTCTAAATATTACTCCAATAGTATTTTCTTTACAGTTATTTGATTTATATTTTAATCGCATCAAGTCATTTCAACTTTACAATATACCCACTACATTCATGGTTTGTGCTACTACCACCCCTACTATCATTCAAATAATCTCATTTGGAACAAGTATTATGCCAGTATTCATTTGCTAACATACATTTTATAATTAACTGAAACTGATCTGCAAAAATAAAGACCTTCCTCATGGTTTTGGCGCCCATTGAGTTGAATCGAGTAGCGCCACCAGGTGAGCGGATCATTGGAGCTTGGTGAGTGAGTGAGTGAGAGCGTCAGGCAGCAGCTGAATATGGAGAGTGGGCGCCAGCACGTAGTCACCATCCTTGGCGCCCTGGCAGCTTAGTGCGCACTTGCTGGGGTGCAAGACTCGTGACTGGAGGCAAGCACATGAGACGCCTGCGTGACGCTGTCTGAATCCAGTGTGTGTCTGTGTCTGTTTGTGGCCGTTGTGTTGATGCTTGTGGCGCACTGTCAGGCACTGTCAACAAGCCAGCCAGCCAGCCAGCAGAGAGAGAGTTCATTTACTCAGACAGATCCAGTGCATCTTCTTCACACACCTATTCAAACTGGCTGATTCACTTTTCCTTGATTCTCCTTTTGTCATTCTACCAGTTGCCATCATCTGATTTGCCCTCTTCGCTCATTTTGATTGTCTTCATTCTCAGCAAAATTCCTCAGAATGACTTCGACTCCCCGTAGTGCAGACTGTGATTCTCTGAATGGTTCGCATCTTGAACGCTTTGGAACTAGGTAGTTGTTCTATTAATTGATTATCACTGCAGACTCTTGGGTGGACGTCAATGAAGGTGCGAGCTCTCAACGCGCGGTGAGCAACGACACTCCGCTGCATGCTCTGGTACGAAACACAGCACCTACGTTGCAAAGTCTAGAACGTCTTTTGCTTGACGCCCAAAAGGAAAGTGGTCAGTCCTCGCTGAAAGGAAGCATTCTCGGCTCGCTGCCCATCACTCCTGATGGCATGCAAACGCCTCCAAACAGTCTTTTCTTCAACAACAATGTAAGGACTTCAGTTGAGTTAGATTTGTTCGAGAAATGCATCATTGAATCACATTTTCTAGGAGCTGATTGTTGATCGCAGCCACCTAAGCACGGATTGGCTGTGGGACTGGAGCAACCGAGACCAAATTTCCAAGTGCGTGTGATAGCCTATAAAAACGGAGGTGTGTGTAATTAAATAATCTTTTGTCGTCATTTAGGGAATGGAACAGTCTTCAGCCATTCCGAAAGACTCGTCTCACCTTTCGCCAGTGGGTTATTCGACGTGGAATTTTGTCCAAAGAAGTGCTTTCATTGCTTTTCCTTACAAACATTCTGTCGTTGATTGTCGGCGCTGGAATCGGCTATACAATCATCTTACGAAAAGCTCTCTGAAAAGCTAATCAACTGAATCACTGCATTCGTGCAACCTACAAATGAACAACACAACAAAGTGAGCACCAATCTAATCAGTCCTTGCATTCTCCACTTCTTAGTTTCTCATCATATCACCACTGTTTGCATTTTTTCAAATGTCACCTTTAGTTCAAAGACATTTTCATGTTTCTATTTATTTTTTATTTATCTTATCAGGGCTTTTCATTTACCATTTTATTTTTGCTACACTTTTATTTTAACTTTTTTGTAACTCGAGTTGAATTCTTCAACACTTTTGAGTGATTGTCTTTGAAAATGAAGTTGACTTTATTATTATATCGTCTGAACCATTGCAAACTGCAAAATGTACAAGAGGGAGGATTGAATAGTTGACAACAGTCGATAAATAATGACTAGGTTCACTTTAGAGGGAGAAAGTATTGAGAGTGAATTGCGGAGATTATGACCAGTAAGTTCGAATGACATCGTGAATGCGCGCTCTGCAGATGGGACAGTGCCCCGAGGTGTTCCACTGTTTGATGGAGCAGTCGTAGCACATGCAGACGTGACCACACGTGTAGAGCACGCTGTTGATGGGCTTCTCATAGCACACTAAGCATTCGTTGACCATTGAATTCAATGAACCTATTTAAGAGAAAGAGAACGAAGGATCATTAGTACTGGCTGAGAGAAAGAGGTAGCTGAACAGTACCTGAGTTGCTACTGGAAGACTTGATCGCTGGGCTAGCCTCCATCGTCTGGTGGTGTTGGTAGATGCTGCTGTTGAGAGCATTGTTGTGCTGGTACGTCTTCTCCAGGTTGACTCGCTTCTCACTGCACCCTCCTCCTGGTGCCTGCTGGTACGCTGAACTGCGCTTGTAGCCACCGTTGGAAGCGTACAGCGGCGTCTGCTGGTGCATCTTGTGCATGTTGTGCATGGACATGGAGTGCATCAGAGGTCGAGGGGGCTGGAGGGGACTAGGTGTGGGCATCATTGATGCTGCTCGAGGCACTCTGCACTGATGAGCACTGCCAGAGGACTTGCTGAACTGCGTGCCTAGGAGGCGCACTTTGAGTGTGCTTCCAAAGAGGTCGAAGAATCCCCAGAGTGGCTGGGAGATGTCGACGTGCATCAGCGTGATCGGCCTCTGTCGGTTCTTGGTCATCTGCACCTCACCCGAGGCGGTCACCGAGAAGGCAATTTCATCGCCGGCCATGGGCTTACTGGCCACATCCTTGATGACCACCCAGTACTCAGGACGGTCGAGCAGCTGGTGCGAGTCGTCGGGCAGGTCGGCGAGGTTCAGGTACGAGGGGTCGCAGGTGGTCAGCCCGAAGGCGAGACTGCCCGCGTACAGCTCATCGGTCTTGAGCACCTGGAGGACTAGCTTCTCACCGACGCCCAGTGGCCGCCCACTGAAGACGTACCCCTGGCTGTAGTACTTGCTATTGCGTTCCGCTATGCACTTGTTACTGGACAGGCGAATGTTGCAGCCTCGGGTGCTGTGCAGCTGCATCGGCTCGAGGTACTTTGAGGCGTAGATTTGCGGCGACGGCTCGCGGTACAGCTCATCAGGCAGGTCGACCATGGAGACGGAGGAGTAGAGGCGTTCACTTTCGTAGGCTCGAGTGTTGTTGTTCGCCACTGCTCGGTTGTTCAGGTGGCAACGAGGGTCTGAACGGGTAAGGACAAGACAATGTTAGCAAGTTGAAAGACAACTGTTGCTGCTGTTGCTGAAGGGGCAACCAATTACTCACCGACAAACTCAATCTTGGTGGTGTTGCCGTAGACGTCAATCAGCGCCCAGAGAGGACCGTTCAGTTTGAGATTGGAGAGAATGACGCCCTTCTCTTCGCCGTTGATGCCAAAGTGGACGTTCCCGGCGCTGCTCACGTAAAAGTGCAGCACATTGTTCTTCTGCGCGTACCTCTCCGGGAGAGCCTTTGCGTAGGTGTGTCCGCTGTTGGTGAGATCAGGACAGGCGTACTTTGGCAGTGAGTTGCGAAAAGTGCCCGGGTCTTTGGTGGTGAAGCCGAAGCGCAGCAGGCCACTCCAGAGGGAGGACATATCTATGAAGCGAATGCAGACGCGCTCGTTCACTTGAATGGGTCGATTGCTGAAGCAGATGCCCTTGCAGAAGCTGCCCACTCGGGTGGCGATGGTCCCATTGCCGGTGATGCGAATGTTGTCGCCGTGAATGGGGTGGAAGGTGATCGGCGGCAGGTTGTTTGTCCCTGAAAGGCCGTCTCTCTTTGAGCTGGCTGTGAGGATAAAAAAAGAAGAGAATGCAACGATTAGCCCAGCAATTAATAAGTGCCCCATATAATGTGCGAGGAACGAAAAAGGTCAGTCTAATTGCTCTGCTCTTTCTCTCTTTCTCTCCCACACACTCGCAGACTATCCTTTGAATGGGCAGGAGAGTGCACAATTGTCACCGTCTCATGAGAAAGGAACTACAGTTCTCAGGCAGCAGTTGTCAGTGGCCGGTTATTAAGGAACGGAAATGTTAAATGTTAAATTATGTGACATGCTCCGCTTTGCCACTCTCTCGTGCTCTCTTTGTGTGCAAAGGCGGCAGTGGAAATGACTCGTCACTCGTCATGGACATGGGCTAAATTTATTCCTCAGCTAATTGGTCACTGAGAGGACAGATATAATTTGGAAGACACTTGGGAGAGTCACTTGGCAGCAAAGAAAGTGAGGCGATAAGAAGACAGGAGGAAAGAAGAGAACCAAGTGAAGTGCTGATGAGGGAGAGGAAACTCTAATTACGCTACATTCGCGCGCGCACCACTGAGCGTAACACTGACACTGACTTGGCTTGGCCATTCACAACTTTTCTTTAAGTGATCATCTTTTCTAAAATGATCTCAAAGTATTGCACTGCCACTTGACGACTAGAGGACAAGCACACATACACACTCGCACCGAGCAATTCAGTGATGACTTACCGATTCGGCGGATCTTCTTTAGAAGCTTCATCTTGAGAGTGACTGTATTTTCTGTTGTTTAGACGACAGGGCACAGTCACAGTAAAGACAGTAGTGAGCGTCAGTGGTGAGAAGTGGCTGTGCTTTATGAGAGAGTGGAAGAAAGAGATCTGAAGCGAATCGTGAATCGGCGATGACTGACTTGTTGCGCAAATGAAATGGCAAGTAGTAGAAGCGGTGAGGATGATGATGATGATGTGGTCGTCGATGTGTAGTCCTCGACGTCTGTCGAGAGAATGACTGCCGTTTGCGTGGTCCCCTTGCTGAAATCTGCAGCCAGCCTGTCCCTCTGCTTTCAGTGAGTCAGTCTGTTTGTGTGTGTGTGTGCTTGCAGTGATGATGGTGCAGCAACAGTAGTGACGATGGCAGGCCACCGTCTGTCTAATCTGATGCAGTGCCCGCGGGAGGAAGCGAGGGGGTCAGCGCAGAGGAAGAAAAAGAGAGAGAGGGGGGATAGCGAGTGAAGGGCAAAGAGCAGAGGGCAGTGTGGGGTGAGTGATCGCCACTCATTGAGGAGGGTCGTCGCAGTCGGCGAAAAGGAAGAGAACGGAAGTCACACACCCAGCACAGTCTTCTGCAGACACTACTGATGACTGTCCCCTCTGCGACACTGACACTCGGTCGAATACGGCTTCTGCTTCCTCTCTCACTCACTCATCCTCAATCTAACGGCCCGCGTTCGCTGGTCTTGACCTTTTTCCTCTCTAAAAAGTGCTCGTGGATCAGCGGTACGTGCTGTGTTGCCGATGACGTTAGCTCGCAGGAAGCAGTAGAGAACTCGCCAGTGAGCGCATCGTCGAGCAAAGGCGCCCAACTTCTATCCTTGGCCTTCGTTGAACAAGCCAGCAACAGTCAGCATACGAAGTGCAGTCAAATTATATTAATAGGATAGACTAAATGAGAGAACACGCGACTGCTTGTTGCAACAGCAGCAGTAGCAACACTGCCGTCAATCGGCCACGACAGATGCTGTTTCGGCGTCGGCCAGCAGGCCTAGTGCCCGCGTAGTCTGCGTTAGAGCATCTGCAGCCTGGCCACAGTTGTCCGTTGACACATCTGCTCGGAACAGCAAAGTCCGCCACAGCAACAGCTGCCGACTGACGCGTGCCGCCGCTGGAACAGTGCAGGGACCAATGGGGAAGCGAAAGGTGGTGGTGGTGGTGGTGGTGGTGGTGCTAGTAGTGCCCACAGCTTCAACTAGGACTCCCTTTCTCCCTTTAATGCAGAGAGGACGCGTGGCACCGACAGACCAAATGTCTCTCGAGTTGACCCTTGGCTTCAGATAGAGCCACAATTAGCCCGAAGTGCCTTCTGCTGCTGCTGCCTTCTGTGCAGGCCTTCTGTGAGGACTCGTGCCACGCGTCAGGCGGACAGCCGGCGCAGTGCTGAGGCAAAAAAGGCAAACAGCTTTGCTCCACCAACATCTGTCCGCTGCCTGTTGCTCTTCATTTCTCTACTTCTCTGGTCTACATTTCTCTTTTTCAGAACTCTATCCACAAGTCCCAACTGCTGCTGACAAACTCTGAACACGCGTCAACTGGCAAAGAGGACCAATCTGGCACGCGTCCGTCTGCCCACCACTGCTCACCGACGGCAGTTACCGATCCACACAGATGGCACAGCTTCCCTAAGGGCACAGGGCAACAGTGCCCATTACACAGTGCTGCCATTGCTGCCTCACTAACTGAAACACTTCAAAAGCAGCAGAATTTTAAAACTTGTTGCATACATAATGTCCATTTAAAAATCGGCTTAGTTTCTGTTATAATATCTGCTTTGAGTATTTCTTAGCAGTGCTGTCTTTTTTTTAAAAAGCAGCCTCGCCTAAGGATGCATGTCTTTCTGTGCAGCTAAGAACTGGCGAGATCACAAATTGTTTGTCATCATTTGTGAATCAGCTCGGTGAGAGCATCCGTTGGTATCCATTGTACTGAGGGTGTGTGTCAGTTAAGGAGGAAGGGACACTGCCGTCGGACATCGCTTCACTGGTTCACATCCTCAACTGGGATGCCACCAGGGAAAGTGCTGCAGGGCTGCTGCAGTCGGATCTCCTGTCTGTCAGTTGCTGTTTGCTGTTTCTGCTGGACAAGGATGACTTCACTTACCTGATCACAGCGGACCACCTTTCCGGCGTCGTTCGCAGCCAGTAGTCAGTTCTGCTCTGTTCTGTTCTGTCTATCCTCTTCTCTTCTGTGCCTGTCCTGTGGACCACTTGTCTGCCTACTTGGCACATCCGCTCGTTTGTTTGCATTTCCCCGCTAATGGGACTGCTGTGATGTGCCTTATGCCTGCGGATGTGATCCAGCCTGGGCTAGGCCAGCAAAGGCAGAGGAAGAGGGAAAGAGGGAGACAAAGGGCCTTTGTCGGCCTAGTTGGCCCCTGTCTCTCTCTCACTGCCTCTCCCTCTTTCTCCGTCCGTCTGTCCGTCCGTCTGTGGGCAGTGTCGCCTGTTGCGCTGTTGCACTACTTCTGCGAGCACAGGACAAGGCCACTTTCCCACTGGCGCAGTGGCATCATCATTTGGGGCTAATTTGCCGGAAATTGGTCGTCACTGGGCAGGAACCGCTTCACATCTTGAGGGCGATATATTTAGCGCGTGCACTTAGCTCTGTTCGCTGCTCTCTGCCCATTCAAATGAGCTTCGCTGAGCGTGGTGAACCGTTTGCAGTGCATCAGTCCTGCCGCCAGCGCCGCAAACTCTTTGGGAAGACAGTGACGCTCTTGCTTTTGCCTCGTCACACGACTAATGAAGGAGTGCACTGCCATTCGGTGCACAATGAGTTGGTGGATCAGCCTAAAAAAGAAGGGTTCAATCTTCCTCAAATCTTCAAGAGGCTTTCAGGGGTTTCTTCATTCGATGCACTGCAACAACAATGACTGTCTCTTTAGTGCTCGGGCAACGCACAACAAACACTGACGGATATTAGTGGTACTTGCTCTTGTTTACCGCCAGTACACCGAGATCATACTCAGTGTACTCTGCTTAAACTTGAGAAAAGCTGCACTTCACCGTTTCTTCTGCCAGCTGTTACAATTTTGGTACATTTTGATTGCTGATGGTGTTGCGTCGATGAAGTTGGAAAGTTCTGGTGGTTCAAGTTCGAACAAAAAGTCAGAGCTGTCGCAATGATTGAAGGCAGTTAGCGCCTAACAGTGCAAACCGCAGTGGCGCTCAGTGTTTGCCTACCTAGCGACTTCAGAAAAGTGTTGCCAGATAGAAACTGCATGCGTGCGAGCGCATGCCCTTCAGGACTGAATCGCGCTTCGGAATTCTGTCTGTCTCGCTCATCTGTTTTGTGATCTGCACTGTGCTTGACTTTGTTGACTTCCTCTTTTTCCAGCGCCTTTCCATCCTTCCCACCGTTCAGAATGAGATCTCTCCGACTTCTCGGGAATGTATTGCTTCGAAGTACGTTTCAGTCGCAGGTAGGTTCACCGTTGAAACGCCTCACTCTTTGCCAATCAGACTAACCAAACACGTTTTCCTGCAGAAGCCCCTGCACCAGCGACCGTCTGTCCGAAGCTTCTACCAGACTAGTCAGCTGTATAGTTCAGGTGAAGCGACAAAAGACAAGAAGATCAAGTGCACGTTGATTCCCGGCGATGGAGTCGGTCCTGAACTGGTCAATTCTGTCAAGGAGGTTTACTCGGCCATCGGCGTTCCGGTGGAGTTTGAGGAGCTCTTTCTCAGGTATGCTTCTGCTGTTATCCTGAAGATTGGATGCACTTGTGCTGATATTGTTTTTTTATTTAGTGAGATTTACCCTTCAATGAGCGTTCCAGTTGAGACGGTGATTGAGTCAATTCAACGCAATGGAATCTGCTTGAAAGGCATTCTCTCGACTCCGTTCAGTAGCTACGCTGGTGAGCTGCAGACGCTGAACATGAAAGTTCGCCGAGACTTGGATCTGTACGCCAATGTTGTGCACATCAAGAGTTTTCCCGGTATCAAGACGAAGCACGAGAATCTGGATTTCTTTGTCATCCGAGAGCAAACAGAGGGAGAGTACAGCGCTCTGGAGCACGAAAGTGTTCCCGGAGTTATTGAGTGCATGAAAATTATCACTGAAGAAAAGTCGAGACGAATTGCAAAGTTCGCTTTTGATTACGCTACCAAGCACGGTAAGTTTCAGTCAAATCTGAAACTGGTTTTACCAGGTATTAATTCCTACCATGTTTATTTTCAGGCCGCAAGAAGGTGACGTGCGTGCACAAGGCAAACATTATGAAGCTCGGCGACGGCCTCTTCTTGAGGTGCGTCGAGGAAACTTCGCAGATGTATCCGCAGATTACCTTTGATTCAATGATTATCGACAACACCTGCATGCAGCTGGTTTCTCATCCACACAAGTTCGACGTCATGGTCATGCCTAATCTGTATGGCAACATTATTGACAATTTGGCCTCTGGTCTCGTCGGTGGCGCCGGCATCGTCCCAGGCGCCTCCTACAGCACTGACTGTGTCATCTACGAGCCTGGAGCTCGCCACACCTTCGGTGAGGCTGTCGGCAAGAACATTGCCAATCCAACGGCCATGCTTCTCTGCTCGGTGAAGCTCCTCAGGCACGTCAACTTGCACGACTACGCTGATATCATTCAGAACGCGCTAACCAAGGTGATCAAAGAGGGAAAAGTTCGCACCCGAGACATTGGCGGCTATGCTTCCACCACTGATTTTACTCTTGCCATCATCTCCAACTTGAACTAACTATTTTGTCATCAGCCACTTCACTGTTTGAACTTCTACCACGTCCCCGATGACACAATCTCATTTAAATTATTCTAGGCTTCTATTCAAATTAACCTGTGTATATATTTATTATGTATTCAAATTCAGAGTAGGCATATTTATTTGTTTGAGTATTGGTTTTGTTTTTGTTGTTGTTGTTGTATATGAAAACTTTAAATATATACACTTGATTTATAAATGAGATGATTGAGTTTACCTTAGTTTTTATTTTTTGGCTGTTTTTATGCCGATGTTTTTGCAAATCCAATCAATGCCATCCTAAAGAAGGGTGAAAGACGTCAGACAAAAAGTGGGCGCACAGTGTAAATACTCGGTTTTACCTTGAGACCTTCTGCAGAGGTAGCTGAGCAGGCCTGAATTTGCCAGGCTCTGTCCCGAATGTGCACCAGTGAGAGTGCTTCTGCCAGTTCCCCAGCGGAGACTGCATTGATTAGGTCTTGCTTGTTGGCGTAGATTAGCAGGGGAACAGTGGCCAGCTTCTCTTCACTCAGCAGTTCATTCAGCTCCTGCAATCAAAAGTAGTCAAAAAGTGGTCATCTGATGAGGCACTTATCAACACTTTTTTTGGACTTACCACTGAGGTCTCCTCAAAGCGCTTCTTGTCTGCACTGTCAATAACGTAAATCTGCGAGAGTTAATGGCAATTACTAATGAGAAATAGTTGTTGAAGTGATCAGCGGTCGTACAAGCACATCGGTGTCTTCAAACTGGGAAGAAAGTAAGAAAGAAAGTTAGTCTTGTTAATGTTTTGTCAAAGCGATTTCGATAATAAAATAAAACGCTGCCTTTTGTGTAATGCCGCTTATCATTTGCAGGGCTTTGCAGGGCCTTGCAGGTATATCCACAATCGCTCATTATTCAACTCGACTAATAATCTTTTTGCCTAGTATCCTACAGAAATTACGGTGAAGCAGGTCACTGATGGAAAGTGGCAATGCCCAATCGAAAGCTGCACTTTTAGTAATGCCGGTTTTTTATCCGTGATGAAAACCCACTTTCGAAGTCATTTCAAGCATCTGAACTGGGTCAATTGCAAGCACTGTTTTAAATCATTTAAAACGACAAAATTGTTTGAAAAAACATCTAGCAAGTCAACACAGAGTAAGTCGAGAGAAGGCATAAGAAGGAAGAGATTGGGAAGAGAATAAGGAACTTCTTCAAAAGGAATC